TTTGAAGAAAAACCTAAAGGAGAAGCTCCACAGTTTTAGAGACTTAAGAGAAGAGAGAATTCTTAGAGAAATTATGAATTCATTCATCAAAAGTGAAGGTTTAGGTCAGATTTACAAATATATAGGGAGAGCTAGCTTGTAGTGTAAGCCAACCTTAACCATCGTTCATTAGGAACCATGGTAGATTTACAAATATATAGGGAGAGCTAGCTTGTAGTGTAAGCCAACCTTAACCATCGTTCATTAGGAACCATGGTAAGGTTTAGCCTAACCATCCATGGTTTCTAAAAGTTGTAGGAGAAGCTAACCTTGACCATGGTTCACTTAAGAACCATGGTAAGGTCAGCCTAACCTCCCAAGGTTTAGAAGCTTGGAAGGCAAGCTTCAAAGCTTGAAGGAGAAGGCTAAAATTCGGCCAAAAACAAGGTGAAGAGCTAGGCGGCCAAGACTCAAAAATGCTCCTTGATTTATTTCAAAAATATTTGATTTGGTTTTTAGTTAGGTTCATCATATGATGATGAGACCTAGTTAAATCAAATCTATGAAAAATTAGGAGCAAAATGAGTCTAATATGCAAAATTTTGCCTAGGCCCAGTTTTGGCCCAATTACTAGTCACACCCTTAAGCATTACTAAATACCACCTCTTTTTCCCTACTGAAAAAATAGAAAATGAATGTATCAACAAGGGAGGTTAAATGGAGTTAAACTCTCCAAGTAACCTACCCTAAAATCAATATACAATCACTAAAAAAAGCAAGTAAAGTGCCTCAAAAAGAAAAAGGTAAAAAAAAGCCTATACAAAAAGACTACTATATGCACAAACATATGAAAAGGTCTTTAAGATCAACCCATTCCTCTTGGTTCTTTTAAGATATCACCTCTTGGATTCCTTGGGCTTGGCCATAGTCTATCATCATGTGCATCCATTTGAACCAACTAAGTGCATCGCCTTTCATATAAAAGGCTGCCATGGTTAAGCGATGTTCCCAAGGGACTTGATGGAAAGTATAAAACTTGTTCAGCTTGGAAAATCCAATCTAATGGTTCGGTGCCATCAAATGGAATTAGCTATAATTTAGGTAGACAAAAGTGAGGGCTTTGAGAATGAGAACCAGGTGCTGGAGGAGGAGGTGTAAAGGGTGGGGGATAAGGAGGAGAAAAAGGGGAGTTGAGAGGAGGGTTTAATGAATAGGGCGTGCGGAGGAAGGGTTGAGGTTGCATAAGGAAATGTGGGTTAATAACTTGGTTAAATGGTTGTGAATTTGGGCCAGACATGGTGGATGGTATTTGGGGAGGAGGTATGTCAGTAGATGATGGAGGAATGAAGGAAATAGGGGGTGATGATGAGGTAGAATTTGAAGGATTGCTCAGTTGAGCCATGATAGTGGCAATGGAACCGGTGAGTGATTCATAACGTGAGTTTTGCAAAGTTTGAATGTTTTCGATTTGGGTAGCAAGCACCCCTAATTGCTCAGAGATGGAATGGATTGTGGATTCTAAATCCTTGGCAGTGGAGGCTGGTTTGGGAGGCATGAAGACTCAATAAAAGCACCAAAAACCTGATAGACTACAACTAATAAAGTTAAAAAACTGATAATTAAGTAAAGAGATACTTCATAATTTCTTCTCCTTTCAAAAAGATCATACAATAATTATTTAAAGGAAATAACTGCAACGGTCAAATATTTGTATCCGTTGATATAAAAAAAGGCTATGATTAAAAACAATGGTACAACAACGGTAAAATAAAACCAACTCAATAATAGTCCTTGAGCCACGTTGGAGGCCTAATTTCTCTCTTGGGCTTTAGTTGAATGGATTGGGCTTGCTGTGGGTTATGGCTATCAAAACTAATTATAATTAATTATATATTTCCCTATTTCTTTTCCTTATTTACAAGTATTTACCAACCATTCAAAATTTTCAAAAAAATCATTGAAAACTAAATTTAAAGTATGAACAACAAATGAAGGCTAAAATATATGCTTATATACCTTCTAAATCTCTTTTCCAACAGCTTTGCATTTTGTTGCATTGCCAGTCAACATTGGATGGCCCTCCTTCTTCAATAACTTTGATCAAATACAGTGTAATAGTAACCTTAGTTTTTCAACCTCATACAAAAACATTACTACTCTACTATTTACAGCAAGTACGCTAATGAGTGGCGTGTTTTCGACATTACTCCATCCATCTAAGAAAATAAGTACTCGTTGATGATGCCATGTGTCTTTGATCGGAGCTAATTCTTTTTCAACATTTCTTTTGCATTCATCCAAGAGAATTGTGCTCGCTTTTTCATATAAAGGTGGTTTATAACCTCTAGGCCCATTGTTAATAGTCGTAACCATTTCAATAAAATGAGGATTTCGGAGAACGTTGAACGACATACCATTGGCAAAAAAAGGTTTCATGATTTTCTTGTCAACTACATCTCTTCCCGAAATATGAAATGCATCTTCAATAGGCTTGAATCTTGATTCCTTTTCCTTTTGGCTAGATGATACTAATATGACTACCTAAAACTCTAAATATAGAGTTAGAAATATTTCTTGAGGTGTGTAGACACCCAATTTCGTCCGGGGGGCATACAAATA